TAGAACGAGCGTCCCGAGCTCTTTCTAATGCGACTTCAACCAACTGGAACTACCATGTATTCCGATCGTTATGAAGGTTTCCCTTTCCGCGCTAGCGGCGCATCGCCGAAGGCGCACTCATGGTCGGAAGCCTTCAGAGGTCCGGGCCGTTCTTCTGTCGTCTTTAGCAAAATCTCCTCCTGAGGTGTCTGCGCCGGAAGCGTAGCTTTCTTAAACGCTGGAAGCGCGTGAGTAGAGACACCTCAGAAAAGGAGCTTTTGCCGAAGGCGCCGAAGACATTGGCGTTGGTACATCCGACTACGCGATTCTTCGTGACCTCGTGACGATCTCCTCAATCCACTCTATTTACCGTACCCTTTTCTAACTACAAACACTGCTTCGGTACTAGTTTTCTAAAATTGTTTAAATTCTGCAAAAAAAACAAAAAGTGTGTTACCACAATACCGTGCACCATGAAGTAGATATTCAGCTACCTCAAGAACTCTAAGAATTATGATATTTTTGCTTAAAGATTTATTAAATAATGTCGTTACAATGTTAGATTGATGCTACTTAATACAAGACAAAATCTATAACTACTTACTTATAGAGCTCCTATCGGGTCGGGTTTCACCTTCAACCCGAACCCGGGGTCGGCGGATCCATGATTGTGAGGGGAGGGCAAGTGGAGAAACGGCAAGAGACAATTGGAAATATTGGAGCTGCGATTATTTCTTGACTAGGAGGCGATGCAAGAATATTTTGAGGAGGCAAGACAAGCAAAATAGGTAGCGCAGCGCGGTTTAGCTAACGCAAAAGCAAGCAAGGGAGCGGGTGCCTGCATCCCATAGAGCGAGGTGCGCAACAAGCAGGAGGAGGAAGAGAAGTGCATGAAGAGACATGAGAGGAGGAGCAAAGTTTTGCAAGATGGAGCAGAAGCCAATGTATACCACGACGAACCAGCTGGATTCGCAGCTGAGCTCTTATTGATTGTTGCTTTGGGGTTTGGGTTTTTGGGTTTTATGATTAGAGGCTTACTTACTTATTTATTTTGATGATGGATTTATAAGTTGAAAATCTATTTTGCATAAATTTGAAAATCAATCAAACATAGAATTTAACCATAAAAATTATGTAGAGGTATTAGAATCAACAAGCTAAATCTATTTGTTTGAATATAATTATCATTAACATATGATTAGCAAAAAAAATATTTTGTCAATCTTCGTATTGATTGTCTTAGTGAATTAAATCTTGTAGCATAATAAATGATGAATAACGTAATGAAGTATATAAATGTCAAATATCACTTTATCATAGATGAAAGTTTTGTTAAGAAGATCAACTGTTAATTGAATCTAGTTGATACATTGATTAAAGTTATATTTTTGTAGTATCTTCCAAATGTGCTATTTTGAAAATTTAGATAAAAAATAATATATTTAGAGTCGACATGATTGTGTAAAAATATATATAGAGATAAAGAAATTTTCTTGTCAACTCTAAATAAATTTTACCTGCGCATTTTGTCATCTATAAATATATATTGACCTAATCATGTTTTGACAACGGCTTTAATCTACATTTCAGAGAAATGAATATTAAATTTCTTTATTTTTGAAAATAATCATAAAAATAATGGAGGTTCCAATTTTCAAAATATGAATTAAGACAGGATTGATCAAAACTTAATTTAGATAATGTTTCAATTTATTTTACTTCACCTTCTTTAATGAAGTTGAATTATCTATCATTATATATAGGGGCGATCAAAGGTTTTAGTGACCTCTTTTAAGAAGAGGTGTGAGCAAAATTTAAATTTTTCTAATGAATCATGTAAGTTTTTAAATAACTTTGGTAATGTGTATGAGATCTATTCTTGTAGTGAATTCCTTAGATGTGTATCTTGAATGCATTTGGATTTCTTGAAATAAAAGATATGACGTGATATTCAAATGTTTGTTGTTTTTGTTTCAAAAACAACAACAGGGTCAAGTTCATGTTTAAAATTAACCTACAATAAAAAAATAACATTTGTATCATATATGATCATATAGGAAATTTTTACATATATGTTAGCTCAATTGTAATTGCAAATAAGTTTATCTTTGATATATCTGAATAGTATGTGAATACAGTATCACAAATATTATTTCATATTGAAAAACGGTTCAGCTGCAAATTTGATATAAATTTTCAATTTTCTTTCTATAACATCTATGAGACTAACAAAATACAATATATGTTGATGTATATAAGTAATTTTCTCATGATTTATCCCAAGAAAGTATGTGTTACACATGTTTGTTTGGACTTTTGCTCTGCTCCATGAGTGTAGATATTGGCTTGACTACAATTCAAAGTTTTTCAAATTGCATCAATTAAAGTCATCAGTACCATTTTACATTATTAATTCGTATGAAATTCATTACTCAGCTGTGAACAAATTTCATTACTCACCACTTGAGAATATTTTATTGAGTAGATGTTTGCTTTGCTATGAATTGGACTTATCCAGGTGGTACACACCACAACCGTTCGCCCTTTGAACCTGGTCTCACTTGCACATTGACTTTCTTTATCAGTTCAGCTCAAAGTGCATATTCTCTAAGGGTTCTCCGCGCATTAGCCCAATTTCTTCCGTGATCAGCTAAACTGCTACTACTCGACTTAATATTGATATTTTCACCAATGATGTAAACATTCATACTTCCGTACCCTCAAAGCAGAATTGCAAGCATGTTCACTTCATCCCACTCCTCTAAACGAGCTTATAATTAACTGCCCAAAAGTGAACCACCTTGTCATAAATTCTGTTTACTTCATGTTCATCCTTGGCTTAAGATGTCATTGTCATATCAACAAACTCGATTATAAAATTCTCCTCTACTTGAGGTCTTTTCTTGTCTAACTGTAAGATGGAGGAAATAGAATTTCAGGTCACATAACGTGAAAGAATATCGCGATCTCTACTACTGCATTCACGTAATACATAAAGAGGAAATTTTTTCTTAATATATAGTCTTTAAGGTTGATTCTGATAACCATTTATCTAGTCAATTGCACGCCATATATAGACAACATTATGCTGAAAATAAAATGCTATCTCATCTTTCTTAGTATTGATTTTTTCTTCTATATATATATGTATGTCTGTGTGTGTATGAATGAGAGTCATGATTTTTTAAAACTTGAATTATATATAACAAATTTCACTTATCTATCAGTTAACTTACTTAAACACATCGGTAATTTCTACACATCGGTAAGAATGTTTGCATATTTTTATATTTGGGTATTATTTTCTATGTATTTAATGGATATTTTCAATCTATCTTATGAAATTTTAAATATAACATGGTTTTCAGAACATTCTTAGATGTAAATATCATATTTGAATGAAAACTTGCACAGAGAGCCCAGCCTGTAATCTAAATATGTTCAACATAGTTATTGCTTCCAAATCCTTAGGTTTATACCATTGCAACTAGTTCTTTCTTACAACTTACTTAGCCTGGTATTGAGAGAATGATCATATTTTGTGTTTTCCATTAAAAGGATATAATTGAATCAATGATATACCTATAATTTCATGAATTCAAAAAATGAAGACATATCCATGAAGTTTGAACCTGAAATCGTATCGAACATTATATCTGTTTCCAAGAAAAATATCAATTTTTCTTAATATTTCCGTTTTATCTGTCATTAAATTCTTTATAATGTGTAGAATAAGATAATGGGAATATGTTGAATCAGTCATATATCCTTTTAATATCTAGTGAAATATACAAGTGACAATATTTCTACAAATATTTCATTTTCTGATATCATACTATCAGAAAAGGCTTATTTCTGATCTATAATTATAAATTTTATATCTAAAAGAATTTGTGCATAAGAGGGTAGACACATGTTAATTGTTTTTGACTTGAATATAAACATTGTTTAGGCAGCCATTTATAAACGTAAATTTGCTAAGTCATTGACTTGAAGATAGTGCTGATAGTTCATCAAGGTCAAGAGTTCTTTGTCAGTGTACAATACTCTACAGTATATAACAAGAATATGATACTAATCTATTATCAACATTAGAGAAAAAGATCTGCGTCATTATGCACTAATATTTGAAGAAATTTGATAGAAAATCCAAAGTGAATTGAACATTCATTCTGCTACTCATAATTTAACAAAAAAATATGTCATCCTCAATCTGTTTATAATAACTGATATGTAGACTTCGGTTGATAACAAATATTGCAAAAGAATCTTCTGCTTATGCCGCCCATGCAAAATGTTCATTGCCTGCATCTGAATTGTAGTTCGAACATTTATCAATTCATAAAGGGCAAATACGCATCCGTTCCAGTTTTAAGAACCCATGCCCGATGCACCGGGACTCCATGTTATGGCAGGCCGAATGGGAAATCGGAGACAGCTCACGGGATGAAACATCGCACTAGAGAACAACACACGCCAGCAGAATAATTCCGGGCCAGTAGAACCCGCTGCCCACCTTCGGCCGTAGTACAGAATCAGTACACTGCGAAGAATGGCCAACGAGAGAAGTGCAGTACAACATGCGTACAACGCGGTTTGCACATGAGAAATGCAGAGGGGAGTACAAATGACGTACGACGGCCGAGGCTCCGACGTCTCATGCTGCGGGATATGCTTCGGGCCAAAGATAACGAGGCAGCAAAATCCATGTCCGTTGACCTTCGTGTCCAGGGACTCGAGCATCACATCCATTGGGGCAAAGCGATGCCAATTGTGAGAGATGCGGACTTCTTCCCGCTCATGCTTGTCTGACCCGGCATCGCCGACCACTGATTGAGATCCTGCGCGAGGAAGCAGGAGGACGAGTTTGACTTTCTCTTGGCGGTAATAACCAGAATTAACGAGGACGCAGTGCAAAGATGGAAGCGAGGATGGGAGACGAAGCGGGTAGAGAAGGCCGAGGCTCCGACGAGCGATCCACAGGGAGGTGCTACTTCCGCTGGTGGTACCGGGTGAACCGTAACTGGAGCTAAACAAAGGTGGAGCTGAGAAGTGTGCCATTATGAGAGTTAAAATTAGAGTGACCTCCAGCGGCGTACGATTCTCCGAACCCAAGTTGCACATGAGGTAGACAGATTGGAGGTGTTCGTTCTGAGGAGGTTGATTTGCGGTGCTGGCATCGGCAGATTTGGTTATCTAAGCTTAGATCCCTTGGTTACAGAAACTACCTTGTGTTCTGATTGTAGGCAACCAGTGAATGACTTTCTGCACACTTCACGTCTGGAACTGTAAAAACTACATCGGGACGAGCAACGCTTAAGTATCAACCCGAGACCAATAACCTTCACTTTCGACTGTCTGCCTGTTCTTCAGACGCACAGTCTCTGCAATCATCTCCGAATCGAAAGTTCGACTACGGGTCAGAAGTCTGTACTTGCAGAGATTTAGTTGTGGGTGTTGAAAGGAAGTGTATCGAGGCGCCACCGACTTATTCGACAGCTGCTGCTGTAGTCCTTGATTCAGGAAGCTATGGCATTCTCAGTTCAATACGCTCTCGCTGCACTGTTGGTAGCCGCCGTCGCTACGTCGAGTTTTGGATTCGCTATGGCACATGAAGGCCACGAACATGCTCCAGCTGAAGCTCCAACAGGTCCGTCTAGCGGAGCCGTCGGCCTTGCGTCTTCTTCGATTGTAGCGAGTTTGATTGCGTCGGCTGCGGGGTTCATTGCCGCTCGATACCTATAGAGCACGATGAGTACTCACTCGATTAATCCCCATTCTTCATCGTTCTTCCTCCACGACATCTGCAGCAGAGCTTCTTCTCCTGACTTCCTTCCCCTGGTGTGGACTTTTGAACAGTCGGTGGTTGATGCTTACGGGGGAGGAAAAACTTGTAATTTTTGTGTCGACGTTTCATTCAGGGCATCTATATCGTCCTTGGGTAGGGAGGTGCTCCACATACAAGCTCTTGTATCCGTGAATGGGGAGTACACAGTTCGCTGCAGAAAAGAGTTTGATCCAGGCCACAATTGCAACTGCAGCGGCTTAAGCGGTCTAGATGCTCTACATAGAATCGGCAACTGAATTCCCACAACTCCCCGACCATTATTTGTTGCAGATTAATTCGAGGTAGTTTCATTTTGTGAGTTATCGTAATCCGTCGAGTATATATCTGCTGCTATTCATCATCAGTCTGAATTGTTGATACAAGCAATAAAACCACAGGGTTTTTTCGAACCCAGTTATAATTCATTTGGGTGCCACCGTCTTCTTGCGCTTCTTACACGAAAGTCGTATATCTATCCGGGTTTGCAGAACAAAATCGGCAGTACGCTGGATTGCCACACATTAATTGATGAACGATTTATTTGACCTCCACATCTGTTCTAGCCTTCTTGCACTCCTTCAGTACGATGAATGCAAATCCAAATGGAAAGTATTTAAGCATCCCTTTGAATTAAAAAGCCACGTGAAACAGTAATTCTGAACTAATGGCCATGCCGTCAAGACACGCCGAACTGCTGATTCAGAGGAAGATTGGGAACGAAGTATATGCTGTATTTCGACTGCCACTTGACTCCTATCAAAGACATAACGAAATTAAGATAGTACAAAGCTTCAGACAAGACAACTGCATCGGGGGTATAATTATAGAAACCACGTACACTGTGAAATGAGTACAGAGATTGAGACACTAAGAATGTGTTCACTGAGCTTAAGTGCTTCAATTCTACAAGCTTTAATATTGGGCAGGGCAGAGTTTTGTAACAACTTAACATCCATAGGAGCTTCATCCTCTTCAAAATTTCGTTTCCACTCTGCCTCAGCCTCAAATCGTTGACAGTTCACTAAAGAATTTCACAGTAACCTTATCGCGTTATGAGATGTTCTGAATGTCAACATGCACTGTAAGTTGCATCAAGGTCTTGGGCATTCAAAAGTACAGACAGAGTAGACACTGTCCTCGCTGACCCATAAGTAGTACAACAGAAGTACATCCACTTCTACGGACCCTGGTACATGGAGTACAGTCCAGTACATTTCAGCCCGTACTTGCTTTTGTCTCCTAGTACTTTTCCAGCGGGCTAATAAACTATAGGTCTCAAATCTGGTGCTAAGGGCCAACGTTGACTTCGTGACAACACGGGGAACGTTCTGGGTTCACTGTCCATATTCCACAGTAGGCCCAATTAGTGCAGCTGGACAAATCTGCTCCTGGTGAATTAATGTCAACTCTCTGTGAAAAAGGCATTCCTCCAATGGCAACGTATGTTAGAAACATTTAAACTGCTTCGTGCACCTTCTGACAACGATAGATCAGTGAACAATCCATATTGAGTTACCCTTCCTTTTAAGGGATCGGTCAAATCATTCCATAGCAATTATCCTCAACTTTTTCTGCTGTGAAAGGCAATCACTGCTATACAGCGACAGAGTCAGAGTCGTTTCCTTGAAGGAGTTGCAACGTGGAACCTGCATATTCTGCGCTCGTAGCGAATATGTAGAGCTGGTTCCTACTGTTCTTAGCATTGTCTGCTCTACTGTTTTGTGGTACAATAATCAGTACGGTACTTTCTGCTTGAGACGTTTGAAATGAGAATTTAAGGAACCAGAAAGCTGCATGAAGATTCCAGAGCTGTGTCATTCGCTTCACAAGGACCTACTTTCCAGTCTATGCAACATCTAGCTCGTTTCCAGGTTGACTCTGACAAGCGGGATATCAGCTCGACTCGAATCTCAAGAAGCTGTTGAAGTTTTGGTCTCACTGCTTTCGACTACCTTCCTCAGTACATTTCCCGACGACCTCAATCTTAGAGATGGCCTCATCTGTGCGTTCGTTCATGGCTACCGGCTTGGTTGTAGCCGTAGTTATGTGCACTTTAGGAGTCGCCACGGCACATAATGGCCATCACCATGGTCCAGCTGCAGCTCCAAAGGCCGCAGCTCCGAAGGCTGCATCCGCCTCTGGACTTCTGCCTTCTTCTATCTTGGCGAACTTGGTCCTCGGGTTAATTGGTTTCGCTGCTGCTCGATACCTTTGACACTCGACAGCATGTCTGCTGCAATCATAGATGACTGCGGTGGATGACATCAGATCAGCCCATGATGGCGAATTCTTTTCTGCAATGACGCATGAATGCTCCTACACGAAAGCATTTTTCTAAACGGCTTTATAATAGTATTGCTTTTCATTAATAGCTCAACTCTTTCGATGATTGAAATAGAAAATTAAATATTGGTGGTAAGTATTAGATTCGATAGGAAGAGTCCGTCAAGCGAAGATAACAGTCGAAAATTCCATAGTTTCCAGCAGGAGCTCAGATTCTGTATGTGAAGAGTGCCAGATGCTCACAAGCCAAAAGAGTAGAACATCTGCACATAATAAGCTGAGACAGGAGTTGAGTGTGAGTTCATTATTTGTCATGTTATTCATGGCAATGCGGTGTTATCAGATTGCTCTAGGTTCCTTTCATGGTAAACTCTAGGCTAAAGCTAGTTGAAGACTGGTGATGTTCATCCTTTCCATGTTCGCACCTGAATAAAGCTTAGCTGGATAAAACCTATTGCAAGGATCTCGTCTTGTTGAGGTTTCACAATCTAGTCATTGTTTTGATGAGCTTGATCTAGAATTCAGTAATAACTCACTGATTACTTTGTTTAAAATTATGATCTGTGGCACGAATATACAGGCTGACCACCATATACTAGTTATGATTCATGCGATCTATGAGCATGATCCTTCATTTCAGAGCTACATAGTCGTAAGCATCAATCTAGTCTCTGTACGGGCTTGAAGTAGTTCACAAAGCTTTATGAACTAATTGAATGAAATATTTCAGAAAATTGACGAAGCAAATGATATGTCTTCTTGTATTTCGTACTGTCCATGCTTGTAACTTCATGCTGAGCTTGGAAAAATTCTCGTGATTTGAGTTATTTCAGAGTCCAGAAACTGCGATCAGATTCACTGACCATGAGAATTTACAGGTTTTGCCTATGTTGTCTCTTTCAGTTCGGGGAATTCAGAGACCCGGATACTTGGGGAATTCTTTCAATAGAGCAGCATCTTTTAGCACTCGTTTAGGAAGATGTCGACTTTGTGTTATTTCTTCGTAGCTTCTGCTCGCTTCACGGGTACGCTGCTAGTAGACCCCACTATTGCGTGGGCGGCCCGCAATATATTCCGTATGCTATCTATTAGTATGCGGTGAGTCAGATCGGCGAGCACATAGGATGAGACTGTGATACTGATTAGAAAAATGTATAATGTTTCTATCTATGGGTGTGTACGTTCATGAATCTAATAAACAGATAAGGCTGATTGACTTTATAACATTAGCTGGACCATGGAATGTATTGGAGTGTATTGACACTGCGCTTGTCCTTGACAGCAGACATAAAGTTTTAGAGAAATATCAGAGCCTGTGAGCTGAGGTGGGTCTACTTCTGAGACGTGTTTTTACTGAATTGGCGAACATCTCCCCTTGAAGAACACCAGTATGAAAGATCAAGACAACGCTTTACGAATTATTATGGACACTTGCAGAATTCATGGAACTATCTATCAAGATTTTGAAGAAGATAATCATCTCAGCTTCAAGTTGATTACAAGGGTAAATTAAATACAATAAAAAACTAGTATCAACCCCATCATGTTCAAAATGTCGAGGTTTAATGTATCTCAATCTAATGTATTTTCTATCGTCTGTCAGTACGCACTGTCGAGGTGCATGATAATGAGTATGAAGTAACTAGATATCCATGATTAACATATGAATGAACTGAGTCATAATACTGCTTGTGGACATGAAGCTGATCTGGCTGTTCTTTGTACATAAATGTCCTGAATAATCTCTTAGCGTGATATATAAATGACCACCATTCACCAACGCCAGTTTCTAGAACCGAAATACTCGAGGTCCACAAGAATCCGTAGTACCTGGAATTGCTGGAGTATTACTGAAATGCTCGAATTATTCCAATCTAAGTATAGTTTTCAGAACATAGCTGGAGGTAATATCGTCCTCTCTGTTTTGACTTCAATGCCTTTCCATCAGATGAAAACGATGGGTTTTTCTCCACATTTTTTCGTTCTGGATTGAAAAAGAGGGAAAACTCATGTTATTGGAATATGCACTGTGCGATGCACACGTCTACTTCAGATATATGCAAAGATCATTAGTCTCAGAGTCTGAGAGAGTGAGCTCATTGGTGGTTAAATGTCATCACCTGTTTTCGATTTATGTATTCAACTGAGAGGAAACGAGTGCAGCTGCAGAAGTACTGCCGCTGTCGGTGATTCTCAACATCTGATCGTTTTTTATTACACTGAAATATCAAAACCCTTTGAAGCTTTGGCTGTTTTTCATTGTCAACTTTTTCAAGATCTTGGGAGCGTTTTAACTGACACCAACTCCACTGATCCCAGAACTGCGAAGGGAATGATTCGGAGCACATCTGTACTTGAAAGTGTGCATGTTTATGGAATTGACGAATTTTTATTCTGTCTACAAGTTACTCTTAGCTTCATCATTAAGAACCAAGACACAGAACGCACGATGTTGAGTAGAATCTTTTGCTTAGAAAAGCCAGGATGCATGACTTGCTAACCGAAAATCGATTAGACTGGGTGCCGCTGTAACGATTTACTGGGAGAGGGTAGTGTGCTTTGCTTAAAAATGTCATTTTATCTCGGACTCCATGATAATCTCTTATACAACTCCTTGCTGAAAAAGATAATTTTTAAATTATCCCTCCTATTGTGGACAAAGACCAGTCTCACCCACACAAAAATTGAATACATACAGAGAGGTCAATTAAAAGGTCATAATGGTTTACATGTACAATTGTTGTACTGTAGGATTCTCCATTCCGCATGCAATGTACTCGTTATGAATAGATATTCTAGCGTATACCTGGTTTGACAACTATGGGAGCACAGGCTGGATGGTAGATAGAGAACGTTTGCCTCTACTTTGGTTCAAAGTGGCTTTTTTAAATGTGTTGAATGATATACCTAGTGTCATCAACTAATTCGAGGGAATCTCTTCTCTCATCTCGGAAGATGTAGTTTCTTCTCGCTCCAAGTATAAAACCTGCGATGTAAAGATATATGCAACAAGCACGCGTGGAAGTTCTTCGGCCTCTTTAGGAACAGAAAACAGGGTATACTTTCCGAAGACAGAGTGAAGTCTTATAGAGGCATAGTAAGCCGGAGGAGACTGCAATATGTGACATCAAGTCGTTGTCTTCAAATCACTCCAACATCATCTTAGAATTCATTAAGATCAACCAATCGATCATAGCTCTTTTGTTTGGTGGCACAAGTGTCAGCCAGTGCTCAGGTACAATGTTCAGTATGGACGCACATCGTGGCTGACTCTGATGTTGTGATGTTATTTTGGACCTCGTAAGAGCTATATTCTCTCTAAATTGAAATCTTCTCTATATCATTGAAAACTCTGTCACAGTGTTGAACAAGTCTTCCAGCGGTTGAGATATCGTCCTTTGGTTGCAGTTTGATCTGAAATATTAATTTAATTTACAGTAATACCTGATATTATAACATTATCATGATACTTTGTAGAGAATTATATCATACTTAGAATTCTCACTGCTTCATTCATTTCCAATATATATCGAATATCAGTATCCTGTTCAAAATCTCATCATATCAAAATGAGATATTTGTGAAAAACTTGTTCAACAAGTGTTGTATTTTACAAACCCTATCACTAGAGATTCACCGCAATTTGAAACCTTCGAGTATATCGGTTTTGACTCCTTGATCCAAGTTTACATATATTTGTGAATTGTGGCAATTTTTAACACTTAAATTTGTATTTTAATTCCAAACTTAATGAGGTGTGAGTGCAAAAATCAAACATGAAGTTTCCAAACACAACAGAATTTGAGCTTTAACAATTTTTGTCATTAAAAAACAACTTCAGTATTTTATGTTTGGTTTTTGGTTTTAAAAAATCTGATGATTGAAACTTTAACGATAGAGGAAGTGTATATAAGATTTGATCTCAATTGGCAGATCGATGAAGGGATACTGCAACCTTCTCCCTGCCGGATGAAGACCGCCGACGTTGTAGAAGAAAAACCGGACCTTGCTTTCCATTCCTTCGTACAGGTTGTAGTGATAAGTCAGCCAGCCAAGGATCTACTCAGCTCTGATCTTGCCAAACATCGGAGGTCCACAAAACGCATACTTATATGGCAGAGAAGCTGCACCATCCCGTTAAAATATTTCCAAGGTGTCATTGAAACTCCAAACTGCTCCCTTCGATTCGTAGAAAACGTCGGCAGTGACAGTGCCAGTGGATTGGATGTTAACTGCAAGCTTCAAGACCCCGCCGTTGCCGTCTTCTGCTACTGCAGTCGGAAAGGTACAGTTGACGATGGAAGGGACAGAAGGAGTAGGATTTTCATCGTACTTGATGTAGATCATCTCTGCATTTGTTGTATTTACATCCTTGCCTCTCTGCTTCCACAGACAATTGCATACCGGCGTGTCAAAGGCCCTGCCAACGGCAGAAGTGAGTCCAACCAAGAAGAACGGATTTAGTGACAGCGTGTAGGTACTTAACTTGGCGTAGGGGTAGAGGGCGAAGCTCAGTGGCTGCAGAGCTTTTGGCTCATCTGCCTCCTGAAGGCCTCCAGAATCCTGGCTTTGTGCACATGTACAATTCGGCAAGGACTAAGTGTACAGATCTACGTCTGGAACCTGAATTGCCTGCGAGCTCGCATTGATACATGCATCATTGTAAAACTCTGGTATATTTCCTACGTAACTGGGAGCCGGAGAAACAAATATCCTTGTCATGGCATCGATCGTGCCATCGACTTCATATTCATCATTGTAAAACTCTGGTACATTTCCTACGTAACTGGGAGAGGGAGAAACAGATATCCTTGTCATGACATCGATCGTGCCATCGACTTCATATTCAGCGGTTGCTGTATTGAAGATGTTGTAGCAGACTAAGAACTCTGTGAATTCTTCTGTAGAAGCGAAGAGATTAAACTGAAATATAAAAGACAGAGAGAATATTACAGCCACCAAACGCCAGAACTCCTATGTGTGAGCATATAATGATGTCGTTCTGCCAGCTTTCACCATCATTTCCGCACTCCTAGTTTCTCGATCTGAATCCAGCCGAGGCAGATCTCTGCACCGTGATTGTCCAAGCCTTTTCTGAGAACATCACCTTTCACTAATTTCTTCACCTGGTCCCCACTTGCTCATGCTGATGACAAGACTGTAAACCCCGAGCTCACAGTGGACTGGACTTATAACTGACACCAGCGCGACGCAGCTGTTGATGAGGCCCCTGAGCAGATCAGAACCACTTGCATGCAGCAGTCCGCTCGATTGCTGCAGCAGCCTGAGTTCCCACTAGTCAGGACCCGGTGCTTTTGAGTTTACCTTCAGTCCGCCCTCGTAGATCCATTCTGTGAAGTAATCCTTCTCGCAGGATGTCGAAGTCATAACTCTACTCAGCTTTCTCTGCTGCGAATGTTGAGAGATCCAGCTAGACCTCGTATAAATACTCGTTTTGCATG